AACGATCACGGCTCTCCGATACGGGAGTCTGTTCGCTATCGGCCGATTCTCGGCCACTGGCGGCGTTCCACCTTGAACGCCCGCGCTGGAGTAGCCTCCGCGTCAAGGCTGCGCAAACCAACCAAGCTGTGCGCTAGAGTGAAGCATCGGCATCTGAAAGGCTGGTGAGGGGGACGAGGAACCCTAGATCGCCTCCCAAGACTGCCCAGTCCGGCAGGCGCTTCACCCGAGACTTCCTCACAAATGATGCAAGGATCGCGCTCTCGCCTCAATGCCAGCTTCGTGCACGTCTGGTCTGGAAGGCCACGACCCTGCGTACATGAGATGCGCGACGAAAAGCATATAGGGTGATTTGTTGGGGAAAGGAATGTTCAAATAATAGGCACTTTGTAGTGGTCACGTTTGCGTCAGACACGTACGCCGGAGTGGAATTCTGGCAACACGAACAGCCAGAAGTGCAGTAAAGTATGCACCTTCTGCGCAGAATTGACACCTGAGGGCGCTGGAATGGTGAGAATCGTACGGCCCTGTCACACGTCGGTGACCTGGGAAAGCTGGAATGGTGAGAACCCCATGGCCCTGTCAGCCGTTCGCGACCTGGGAGGGCTGGAATGGTGAGAAGCCAATGGCCTTGCCAGACGTTCGTAACATGGGAGGGCTTGAATGGTGAGAATCCTGTGGCCCTGCCACATGTTCGTAACCTGGGAACGCTGGAATGGTGAGAATGCCCTCCCAAGCCTGACCCCAAGACGATCCCATGACCTGAAGACGATGAACGACCCAGCAGACAATACATGGAAGGACCCCCTGAGACCATCTTGGGGGCGAATTGGCGGCTGTCTTTGGTTATGTTGAACTCTGCGAGCCCTACTCGGGGCTCCGGGGGGCCCTCGAGTCGCCTCTGGGACTCTGGGACCGTCTCGCAGAACAAAGAGATACCAACAATGGTCGTGGGATACTACAGTAGGGGTCAGCGTCGGATTGGGAAGCCGGATCGACATCGACATCTGATCGAACCTTTTGGAATCGAGGCCCAAATCGATCGCCACATCGGCTCGGACATCGGAGACGGGAAGCCGGATCGGAATCGAATCGGAACCGGTTTGAGCCAGATCGGAGACGGATCGGACGCTCGAACTGGCCCCTTGAGCCAGCATGAGCCATAAGCGGCCGGACGATGATTACGATCACGACGGCGACCCCCCTCGGCGACGAGCGCGACGGCGAGCGCGGCGAGTACGACGAGTTGCCCCCCTCGGGCCCCCCTTGACCCCCTCGGAGTCTCCTCGGCCCCCCCTCGGGCCCTCGCATGCCTCGGCCCCCCCTCGGACTCCCCCTCGGGGCCCCCCTTCGGGGCCCGGTCGCCCTCCTTGGCACTGGGGAAGCGGGCCCTGAGGGAAACAGGCCCTGGACCCCGGGGCATTCCCCCCTTGACGAGTTCGTCGTCCTGAGTTGTGTTCTGACAGTCGTGGGGCCCGTGGAGGGCCCCCAGGAAGCCAAACACGGCGGAAGTCCTCAGAACCCGCTTCCCCCATGGCGATCCTCCCTCCCCCTCCTGCCCCTGCCGGGGTTCACCCCTGGACGGCCTCGGGACGGCCCCGGAGGCGTCGGCCCCACCGCGAGGGGAGGAAGCGCGGCGGGCCGCCCGAAGGCAGGCCGCCTGGAGGCGGGCCGCCGCGGCCCTATCTCGGACCCCCCTCGCCCTGGGACACCTCGGACCGCCCTCGGACTCGCCTCGGGCACGACGATTCGCGCCGGCGCCGTCTGGAAATTCGCCACTCCGGAGCCTTCCAAGGCGGCGCCGGCGCGCAACGTGACGTGGCGGGCCCCCGTCACGCCTGCCACCGCCAGGGCCCCGCACCCGTTGGGCACGGGCGCGGCCCCGCAGGGGGGCGCGCGAACGCGTGCGCGCAGGCGCCCCAGGGGGGCGGCCGGCGGTCGTTCTCGTACAGCTCGCTGGCCAGCTCGACGATGCCCTTCTTGTCCTTGCGGTACAGGAACGACTCCGTCTGAGGGCGGCGGCGCGCAACACCGCGTGGCCAGCATCCGCAGGCCGGCGGTGGCGGCGGCGGCGGCGGCGGCGACGACGACGATGACGGCGCGCGAGCTGGTGACGCGAACAACGGCGGCGGCGGCGGCGCGCTCCTCCTCCTCCTCCTCCTCCTCCTCCTCCTCCCTCCTCCTCCCTCCTCCTCCTCCTCCTCCTCCTCCTCCTCCTCCTTTTTCTTTCTCTTCTGCCTGTTCTTCCTCCTCCTCCTCCTCCTCCTCCTCCTCCTCCTCCTCTCCTCCTCCTCCTCCTCCTCCTCCTCCTCCTCCCCTCCCCCCTGCGCCCTCCGCCCTCCGCCCTCCGCCCTCCGCCCTCCTCCTCCTCCTCCTCCTCCTCCTCCTCCTCCTCCTCCACCCTCGGCAGAGACCCCTCGACCCCGAGTTCAAGGAGGCGACCCAGCTGGTCAAATCCCTGGGCTATCTTTCCACCGACCTGTTCGCGCGCGGGCTATTTCTTCCATCGCGGAGCTGTTCCGAAGGACCGAGCGCACCACAGCGATGGAGTGGAACGAGCGGCGATAGCAGACGCTGGCGCTCTCCGAGAGCCAGGCTCCAAGATCTTCGCGTACGGTTCGGGAGTCGGTCTGGCCGGTCTGGTCTACCCGCGGCTCCGCACAGCCCTGGTCGGTCCGCCGTGGTCTACCACCCGCAGTGCAGGCTCATCGGTGCGCTGTGCCATTAAACGAGTGGCCTGAGCAGCTCCCGCGCAACGGAGAAGCTTTCACAGTCAAGATGGTGCTGGAGAAGCTTGGCGGCGGCACCTTCAAGCTCCACATTGGTCGGGTAGTCGGTAAGGGGTGTGACCTAAAGCGGGGGTGGAGGGGCCTCCAAGGAGCCGCTCAAGACCCCAAATGGGGCCCCTAGGGCATCAAAGGGAACCACAAAAGGCCCCCTTCTCCGCCCCCACACCCCACCCTTGAGGTCACCCCCCCTTACCGACCACCCGAACTGGCTGCCTGGCGAAGTTCCGGTGTGCCCCGGCGCCGCTTGCGCGCGGCAGGCCCCGAGCCCGTCGGGGCCCGCCTCTGGAGGGGCACGCCGACAAGCTCGAGGGCGTCACGGGGGTCAAGGGGAGGGCAGACCTGGGCCCGTGGGCGATGACGCGCGGATGGAGCCCGTAGATGGAGCTCGTCGGCAACCGCAGGGCGAATGAGTACGCCAAGCGAGCGGCCAATGGAGCCCGTGGCGATCCTCGGGGCATGGCGCTGCTGGAGGGCTGCATACACGTCGGCTACCTGGCCGCCCACTGCGCCGCCACCAGAGCGTGCTCACGGACACCAAGACTGGGCACTCGATGGGGGTCGAGGCCCTCCGATTCGTCGACCTGGGGTTGGGGGGACTGCACAACAATCTCTTCCGACAACGGCCGCGAGCATCGACGGCGAGCCAGAGGTCGACGACGCCCTCGACGGCCGCAGACTCGAAAGGGCAGCATCGGGTCCTCCCCCCGCCCTCGCACAGGAGGGGGCCCCCACGTCGCCACGAGTGGGGAAGCCCAAAGGTACCGACACCCCTACTCCATGGCCCTCTCCTGGAGTGCGATCTGACCAGAAGCTCGAGGCGAAACCAGCGGCGTCGACGAGGGCCTCCCAGGAGGCCCCACAAAGGGGAAAACGAAGGAAAGGTCGCGTTCTGGGTGTCTTTTCCTCCTCCGAACAAAGAGAGCAGTATCGGCCCTCCCCCCGACGCCGCGGTCTGGCCCAGCGCCGCCACGCCCCGAGGCCGTGCCGGGCCTGCAGCCCGAGCCCGTTCGCCAGGCGCAGAGCTTCTCTGCCCGGCCTCTCGAAGGGGCAGTGCAGTGTGCAAGCCGACCCGCCGCGAGCAGTGGCGACTAACTACCAGACCTCCGTCCGCAGCACAGGCCTGGGGCGTGTCGCTCTGACGCTGCAGCGTCGAGCGGGCAACAAAAAGGGGGGCCCCGCGGCGCCCCGCAGGTTCTCGACAGCGCAGCGCCACGCGCTGCGCCCTGACGAGGCGACGCCTCGAACTGCGCACCTATCTGGGGTCGTCGGGCACCCGTCGGCCGAACCCACAGAGCCCTCGCAGTCGACCTGTGCGCACCCTGTGGGCCAGAACTTTTGCGCAGCAGTGGGAGGAACAAGGGGGAAACCAAGATGGGGAACGAGATGGGAGAACAAGATCATGTTGCTTTGGTGAGGTTGCTCCTCGCGGCCATCAATATCATACTGGTCTGGTGAGCCGCCCCCCGCGGGTGCGGTCAAGAGTGTCTTGCGCTGTCGGTCTTGTCCCCCCCCCCGTTCCCTTTCCAGCAAAACCGCATCCCTGACCCGCAGGCGCACCGCAAACGACACACGGCGGAGCACGCCGCGGTGGGGGAGGGCACTGGTTTGAGCAGAGACCGACCGTCCTGGCACTCCTATAGGAAATTCACACAAGGTTCTAAGAACCAAAATGTTCCCAAGCCAGAATAATACAGATGTGCAACAAGAACAAAACAGTCTCAGCCAGACGTGTTCTACTAACGTCTCGTGCAACTCACAAAAGGTTATTGGAACATTCCTTGCTGGGCCTACAGGCAAGCCAGGACGCTTCGCCACTGTTTGTTTCTGGCCCGAAGATGGCGCAGTCTGGGCACAGAGCGGGATGTCTGTGGCTCTTGGTCCTTAGCCTCGAGCGCCAACGTGCGTTTCAGCACGAAGAGGCGCAGGTCAGCTGAGAAAATGTAAAAAAACGCATTCCCGCTGGGGCGTCCGATGGTTTCAGCGGCACCGATGCACTGCTGTTTATCATCAGGCAACAAAGCGACGACACAATCTGTGCCCTGCACTGGCCTAGCTGGGGTAACGCACATGACACCTCTGGCCCTCGGCAAAGCGGGCGAGCCTCGCACTCTTGAAATCCTGAGCTGACTCGAGTCAGACTGGCTCTTGGGCGGTCTCGAGCCAGTCTGAGGGACGTCTTGGGCCGTCTGCATCGTCCTCCTCCTCCTCCTTCTCCTCCTCGTCTTACCCTTCACCAATGAGCAGGAATACAGCTGAAGGCAGGGTCCAGGCTCACACCCTGCGGCCTGCATGCCCCTCGTTTGGGCGACTCGTCTGAGCCACTGCCATCACCTTCTCTGCGTCAGACAGCAGTTGCCGCAAGGCGCCTGCACGGCCCATCCCGGCTAACGAACTACCGCTGGGCGCGCCGAGCGCTGCGCCGACGGTCTGATCTGCGCCAGCAGCGGCTGTCAGGACGGTCATCTGCTCTCTCAGAGCCCTCACTGCGGCACGCAGGGCCGCGACCTCGCGCGCCAGCTCCTCGTGGGAGGGCAGCTGGCCGCTGCCTGGCACCTCCGACGTGCTGCTGGGAGCGGTGGAGGAAACTCTGGAAGCGGGCGCCCCAGTCGGCTGGCGAGCTCCAGGCTCGTCGGCAGCACTCTCGAGCGCACGTTCTGCTGCCGGCTCCGTGGAAGCCTCACCGGACGAGCTGGCCCTCGCATTACCGGGCGCGTTCGGCGGATTGCTGCCCGCCGAGTCCGCCACGAAACAAGTCTCTGCTGGGGAATTGTAACTGTACCTTTTCGTGGGGGACAAATGTCGTACCATGCGCTGTGCCAGGCAATCGCGCATCGCCGACTCGGTGATCACCGTGACCTTGTTTGGGTCCGTGCCAAAGCTGCCATCGTCGTAACGGTGCTCCATGAAGTCAAGCCCAATAAGCTCTGAGGCGCGGCTGGAACGGAAGCCGATCATCACATCGATGCTAATGAGGACAAAGTAAGTGGAAACTGCCACAAACGCGCTGATTGCCATGAGGCCCACTACCTGTATACCCAGCAACTCTAGAGCATCTATGCCACCGCCGAAGGCCAAGCCGCGTAGCGAGCTGCTGCAATGCGGCTGCGCCCAGAGCGCAACGCTGACTACTCCCCATACAGCAGGTAAGCCATGGGCTGCTACCGCGCCCACGACGTCGTCGATCTGGCGCTCGTTGAGCCACCGCTGGCACCAAAGCGCCAACAGGGCAGCCACAAATCCCACAAAGACCCCTACCAGCGGGTTCAAAACGTCACAGCCTGCACAGCTTGCCACCATGGCGCCCAACACTGCATTCGTCAGGTCTGGCACGCTCACGACAAGTGAACGCGTCTGGACCAGAGATGCCACGAAACATGCCAGTGAGCCCCCAGCAGTTGTGAGAAGTGTGACCACCGTGCTCCTTGCAGCCAATAAATCACTGCCGCCGATGGTGGAAAAAGTCGACGCGGGATTGAACGCAAGGAACCCCGTGAGCAAAAGGAAGACTCCAAAGAGGAGCTGCACTGGGTTACTGACCACTTTAATTTTGGCGTAAATGGCTCGCTCGGCGCCGGTCTGTGGAACCTCGTAGTACTCTCTGCCGTTGCGCTCGACGCATATCCTCCGCAGAATTCCCTTCCAAGGCCGGTACTCAGGATACTTTCCTATGCGGGGGCCACATATGCAAACTGCAACGAGGGCGCTGACTGCACCAACCAAGTGCACAATTGAGGAACCTGCAAAATCAATGTAGCCCCACTGACCCAGCCATCCTCCAGCCCAAGTCCACTGAACAACCACTGGATAGATGATGCCCGTCATGACGATAGACAATAGCAAATACGGTATGAAGGCAACCCGGCCTGCTAGAGCACCGCTGGTGATTGTTGCAGCGGTTGATGCGTATGAAAGGTGGAGAAACCAGAGCGCAAAGTCAAACTGAATATCCTCACCAAATTGGGTTTGACCCCCGAAGGCGATCTCGTAGCCGAACAGATAGAAAACAATTGCCCCCAGGAGTAGATCGAAGATATTCTTCATCATGATGTTCGCTGAGTTCATGGGCCGAGCGTAGGCCGACTCCAGCATCGCAAAACCTGTCTGCATAGAGATAATTCGGCCAGCCATGAGCAGCAAGTAAACTGTGTCCGCACGATGCCGAACGTGCTGGTCAGTGCACCCAGGTGCTGATGTGTTTTGCATGCTGGCAATCCAGAACTGGTCCCGCTCCATTGTGCAAGGCGTTCACTACCAGACTTCGCGCAACGGGGGAGTTATGACCGCCCTTGCCCAGTTCAGCGCACGAGCGCCTGGACACAGGACGCCTTGAGCCGCAACGGCTTGAGCCTACGGAAGGACGCTTCGCAAACCGCCTGACTGGAGACGGCCTCTGCCCCCCCCCCCCCCCCCCGAGAGGAGGCTGCGGGCAACCCGCCCGACGCCCGGCGGCCCCATCGGCATCGACGGGCCCCGGGAGAGCCGCGCCGGCCGGGCGCCGCCTGGCCCTCGGCAGGCGCGGCATCCACCCCGTGCGGAGGCGGAGCCCCCGCCGAGGCCACGGCGGGCCCACGCGGCCGCTCCTCGCAGCAGCCAGGGCAGCAAAGGACGGGCTCCTCGAGGTCCCGCTCCCGGGCACGCCGCGGCAGAACCTGGGCGCCCTTCGGAGCCTCCTGCACGCCGGCGCCCGGCTGGAGACGCAGGGAGGAGCGGCGGCGAGCCCGAGAAGCAGAGGGCCTTCTCAGACGGCTCGGAGGTTCCCCGGCCTCTTGCGAAGCTTTCTATAAGAAGCCCTCCCCGACGGCACAGAACACCTCTCGAGGGAGAGGCGAACGCCATCGCCACCTGCGCCGCCGAGCCGAGCCAAGCTGCCGCGCGAGCTCGGCGGGCACCGCCCCTGCTGCGCCGACGCGCTGCGCCTGCGCCTCGGGCCCAGGGGGGGGGAAGGGGCGCAGGCCAGCGGGGCGGTGCCCGCGCCGCGAGCTGCCCAGCGCTGCAAACAATACCTGCACGGCCACCCTTCGGGGGGGGTCAGGAGGTTTGGGGAATGGCGGGGGGGGGGAAGAACCAACTGCCGGCAAATGCGATGGGTGTGATGATGACGATGCTGGTGACGCGTCCTCGAGTGAGGGACGAGACGTGAGCGCGAGCTTGCGCGTCCGCCGCGACTCCAACGCGGCCAGAGGCGTCCTGGGGGACCTCGCCAGCCCAGCACCCCCAGGTGTGCCCGAGGCCTGGGCGGTGCGCTTCGGAGGCGAGATTCTGAAGCCTCAGAGGAGCGGAGCGGCCGCGGTGGCTGCTGGGTGACCGGCCCCGCAAGGCCCCCACTCGAGGTTCTGCTCGCCGGCTTTGGGCTCGCCAGGGACTCCGCCAGCTGTGCTGGGGCCGGGGCGACTTTGGCCAGAACAATGCGCATGTCGGGCGTGCATTGTCGGGGGTCGAATGAGGGGGGGAGAAAGGTTGACTCTTCGGGCCCTTAGGGCCGCCGTCGGTCCCCTTTCTCAAGCCCTTAAGGCGACAAATGCGGGGGCAGCAATGCTGCCCCCGCATTTGTCGCCCCCCCAGCACGCGCCCCCCAACTCCGCCAGCCGTGCTGGGGCCCGAGCGATGTTGGCCAGAACGTTGCGTGTGGCATCCACCAGCCATGCCCGGGCGGTCGAGGCTAGAGCTCGGCGAGAGTCAAGACTGGAGGGCCTGCTGGCTCGTCCTGAACTCCAATCGGCATGGCGTTCTTTCGCGCAGGGTCCAGCCTCCTCGTTCCTGACTCCTCCTCTCCTTCCATCCCTCTCCTCCTCCTCCTCCTCCTCCTCCTCCTGTTTCTTCCTCATCTGTTTGCCTCCCTCCTAATCCCCTCGTCATCCCCTCCTCATCATCGTGATCGTCCTCCATCCTCCTCCTCCTCCTCCACAATTACTCAATATGAATACTACTCTCCCTCTTCCCCTGATGACGTGCTGGGAGTGTTCACCCCCCCCCCCCCCCGCGTCCTGTTTTTTACACTCTGGTTCCCCGGGAGTTGGGTTTTCGCTTGCATGTTTTTTCAACATGCTGCTCTCGCTGAGGCGCCGGCCTCATTTTCGGGCCCCGCTCGTTCCGAATCGTGCTCCCGCTGCAGCGCTGGCCTCATTTCCGCGCTTCCGCTCGTTCCGAATCGTGCTCCCGCTGCAGCGCTGGCCTCATTTCCGCGCCTCCGCTTGTTTCGACTCGCGCTCCCGCTGCAGCGCTGGCGTCATTTCCCGTGCCATGCCACGGCGTGCAAGGCAATGCTAGGTTGATACTACGCTTTGCGGTGCTCTTCTACGCCATGCCATGCCGTGCTCTACAATGCATCGCGTACCCTTTCGGGATCATTGCCCTGCTCGACATCCGACTGTGCGAGTAGAGAGGGGATCTGCACCATGGTAAGGGATGGGAGGGAGGGGTAGGATGTCAGATATGACGCGAGCGCACCTAGCTTGTCCCTCCCCCCTCCTCCTCCTCCTCCCTCCATTATCCGTCCTCCTTGCACCTTCCTCCTTCCTCCTTCCTTGCTCCTCCTTCCTAATCCCTCCTTCCGCCTTCCTCCTTCCGCCTTCATCCTTCCTCCTCCCACCTTCCTCCTCCTCCTCCTCCTCCTCCTCCTCCTCCTCCTCCTCCTCCTCCTCCATTCCTTCTCCATATAAGTAACTACTCCCTGTCCGCCCCGAGGCAAGTCTTTAGGGCGGGCCTGGCGTTTCGCCTGAGACTTCCTCACCATGTATGACTCTGAAGCTTAAACAGTGACAACAGCTTCACAGACGGAGGGCGGGTGGTTTTCAAAATGTGGCTCTCGCCTTAACGCCGCGCACATTCGTTTTGAATATTTGCAAGAGT